CAGAGCTGGAGAAGTCCTAAGGCAGAACTCTTCGCTTTGTTTCACTTCTCAACACAATCTGCCTAGCAGCAAAAGGCAGCAAAAAGAAACCTCAGACCAACCAAGGCATCTTTGTGTTTTTTATTGATTAGAAGGTAGATTTCTATGTGCTTCTTAGGACCAGGATTATGATCTCTAGGGATTACAGTTTGTATTGGATTTGGGGGATGGTCTCCCTCAACAAAGTATTTTATCCTGTTGCCCCCACATAAGCAATAATATGTTTTATTTTTCTAAGCATAAATTTCCCAGAACATCATATAAATTGAACCACACACCCCAATTTGGTTAAAAAACATGGTCATCTGTGTCTCTGAGGTAAAAATTTTGGCAAAACAGTGGGATGGCGTGTGCAGGTGCCCCATCATCAATTCACACAGGCCGCTGGACAACCCATTCTGTGAAATGGGCCTTGGAAAAGATCCATTTCCAGAAAAACCAAAATAGTCAAGCTTCTGTTTTCACATTAATTTCAAAGACTTTGATACTCTCCACCCCCTTCTTTTACCCTAAAATGCCATCCTCAAATTCTCAGAAATGTGGATAACTTAGCATGTAGAGATTTCCTGAAAGAGCGTCACTACTCTATAAAACATAGACAAGGGCAACTTCATGACACTAAGGAAACAGGAGAGTGCTGTTGGCTTTTATTGAAAATGGTGCTGTTATGTCAAGGATTTCAGAATCTTCTCTAGTTTCAAATATGTCGTCGGATTTTAAATAGTAAACCAGATAAGGAATGGAAAAAGGTACCATCTTGAATACTTACCATATTTGGTAGGCATAATCTGATTCAACACACATTAAACATTATTCATGAGAAAACTTAGGTTCAAAGAAAGCAAGCAGGTGGTCCAACAACACACAGCTAGTGAGGGGGCAAAGCCAAGTTTGAACCCAAGTCCATTCACCTTATCAGTGCTCTTTCTACCATGTTACCTTTGTACAGGATTGTTCTCAAAGCTGAGTGCTGCCATGTCCTGACACTTTCATCCACTTAAAGGAAATAGGTAGATCTTTAACATGTTTGGAAATGAAAATTGTAAGTCATCATAAAGTTTTGTCAAATGCTGTGCTCTAGATAGCTCCACTCTACTCCTGATTGGTGTTCTGAGGCACTGCTGTTTAAATTTTTCTTGGGCTGTTTTCTGATCTATTAATTTAGATCAGTTAATAGATAATTTAAGCCTGGCCAATGAATTGTTAATAGTGAGAGAGAAGTGCTAACAAAGCAGTGTAGTCTGCTTGTTACAGCAACAGTTAGGTGTGAATCATGGCTCCCAACCACATCCCTAGCTCTGTAGCACATTGTCTGGCTTGTAGTAAGTAGTCAAAATATGTTTAATTTGCTGAGTTTGGGTCCTAGCTTTTTTCCTATACAAATTAATTTTACCTCAGCCATAAGTGGCTAGGACTTTTACACTGTGAATATTATCAGACATGAAATCCCTTCAGGATATGGTCACAGGAAGCCCTGCTGAGTGGGTGCTCCTGCTCTTGTCAAACTGCTGTGGATACGGTAGGAGGAGGCATCTGGCAGGCAATTCATTTGTCAGTTTCTGAAAACAGTGTCTACTCTGTAAGGCTGTTGTGAGAACTGGAAGATTCTGTAGCCAGCTGCCTAGCCACAAAACCAACTATCAAGAGAGATGACTATCACTACTTGTACTGTAGTGTTGAATTATATTATTTCTTTGGTCCAGACTCTATATATACATATTTTCCTTATTTATGCCTAAAATGTGAAAAATCTTGGAAGGAAATACATGCTGTGTCTTTTAATACCTGAATTTTTAAAAAGAAACACAGCTTACTTTGTGTTGGTACTATTTTGAGTACTTCTATGTTTATTGACTCATTTCATACTCAAAACAACCTTCTGCAGTGGGCATCATCCCCATTTTATAGTTGATGAGATGGATGCAAAGGTTAAGTAACTTGCCTGAGGTCACATGGCTAGTAAGTAGCAAAGTCAGACTTGAGCCCAGGCAGTGGATGCCAGCAGCCATGTTTCACTGCTACACAGATGTAGCCAGATTCAATAATCCTGTTTTTCTGATTTGTGCCTTTTCATTCGTGTCTGAGAAAATCCTTCCCTATTTTCCAGTACTGTCTTCTAAAAGGTTAAAATTTGCTTTTCACATTTGCAATTTAGTTTGTCTGGAGTGAGGTATTAATCTAATTTTACATTTCTATATGTGAATAGCCTAATTTTCCAGCAAAGACTAATCGAAAAGAAAACCACTTTTCAGTTGGTGCATTCGTAACTCACAGCCGAGTCAGATTTTTGCAGAGCTAAGTGTTCATGCCTCTAAGAACTTTGTACATAGCTCAGAAGATACCAAGAGAGTGTTCACAGCCCCTCTCCTATGTCTCTGAGGTCAGTGTATGTTTCTCATTGCTCCTCTGGCTCCTCTTTCTCTCTTCCCCTCCCCTCCCTTCCTCTCCTCGTTTCTCCCTTTGCTGTCTCTCCCCTTCCTATTTAAGGATAGTGCCTACCAAAATTGGGAGGAGTGACTGAGTAATCCAGTGATTCATGGTTTCAGGTGTTTAACTTCCCTCCCACGGAAGCTGTGGATTAGTTTTCTCTGGAGGCTGAGGACACAGGTTCCTCCAGCTGCTCTTTTGCAGGCATGTTGCTGATTCTCAGTGGGAGCCATGCACTGGAAGGACATAGCGTGGCTCGGGACAGCCCAGGTAGGACCACAGTCTAATGAAAGACAGTCTGGGTTTCTTTTAGTTACTGTGTAGGGAAATAAAACCACATCTAAGCTGGGATCACTTGATAATAATTATACTGAACATTGGTTGTGCTTTTGTTTTTTCAAACTTAGGTATGTAATCAAACCTTGATTCTGGTCCTGAAACCATCTTTTCATCAGTATGATCAGTTTTTACCGTCTAAGAGTAATAGTTAAACTTGACTTCTATATCTGCATATACTTCTTCAGGCAACATATTTCATGTAAATTGATAGTCAAATGAATAACAAAGAACCTAAGAAAACAAGACCATGTATAAGCTTGTTAGTCTTGGATCTAGTGGTATTTCATACTCACTTTCCTTTTATGCTGTGGTAGATTTTGAGCTACTAAGCATTAAGTGCAAAGCAGGGTCATATTACATATTCTAGTTATGGGATCTGCAATCCCATTCAGAAAGAAAATCACGCAAGGAACTCTGTACAACCTAAGATAGTGAACCTAAGACGTTAAAGAGAATGGGTTCCCAGGGGCTCCAGTTGCAACTTGGTTGTCTGGAACTCTGGTTCATGCCTTCCCTCCAGACCTTTCTGCTTGTTAGCTTGCACCTGAAGATGAACAGGGCAGATGGAGGAAGTGACACAGACAGCTATTGTGCTAGTCTCTCATCCAGATTATTTTTCATTAGTGGAGTATAATGTCATTTTGCTATTCATTTCAGTTTTGAATTATCTTTGGATTTTATCTAAGTACACAGTATTTCTCATTTGTTCATCTAGAAAGAAAAGAGATTGTTGTTATTCACATCAGTGGTAATATATTGAATCCATGTTCGAGAGTTAGAGATCAGCCTAATTCCTGCTCAGCCAGCAAACTGAGGAGATACAGGCAAGATGAAAAACAGGGAATGCGTCTAGGGACTGACAAGTTAATTATCAGTACTTTGTGAATATTTCAGATTTGGTATGTTATTGTCATCACAAAAATGTAATTCATATTCTTAAAGTATGAGACTAATCTATATACAGTTCTTTCTAGCAAATTTCTACTGGTACCAGATTAGGGATGGGAACCAAGGAAAAGGGTATAATCTTAATCTCCAGAATGGTAAATTTGTAATTTGACACTTGTACTGGAAATTTTTGTTACCCTGAAATGGTTAGTTTATTATTTATTTCTTATTTTATTATTACTTATCTATTATTTATTTCTGTTACTGTTCAGTAAAGCCTTTTTGCATGGACTCCTCTCTAGTCACTGCCACAAGCCACACCCAGGGACACCCTCTTGAAGGATTTTTTTCTCTTGAGTTGGGGAAACCTGACGTCTCCCCAGGTTTAGTTAACAGCCTGGAAGTATGATAGTCTAAGCCATGTCTCAACAGCTTGTCTTTTGCTTCAACTCCTCTGAATGGTTGCTCACCATATGAAAGGATAGTCAGTGTGTGTGTTCTTGGAGTCCCTTCCTCATAAAAACCTGTTACTGGGTAGAACTCACAACATTCGAGTGCCTGAGCTTAGTTGCTGACTTGTTTCATTACTTACCTCTTCTGTCCCTGAGTGTTCACATTTTCTTATCCAAAGTTATCACAGTTACTTGTGATTTGGGATTTTAACTCTGAAGAGTAGACCACATACATTATTGCCACTTTTCCAGCATTACCTCCCCATTCTTGCCTCCACCTGTCTATTAATTAAGTGTCCATATTAGAAGAGAGAAAATGATTCCATTACCCTTGACATGATTTGCATAAAAAGACTGTGATAATTACTGGATTTTTATATCTAGCCAGTAAAAAACTATTCTCATCAAAATTTCTGGATGATCATAATTTGAGAGTGTGGGTTGTAATTACTGTGATGTGTGCATACTAAAATATGCAGAGGTACCTTGTTTTACATAGATGTGCTTCTAAACAAAAGTACATGTGAAGAATGCTTGGAAACTAACTCATGCTTTAAACCACTAGGGGAGCTTTGGTATTTAGAGAAATACTGTAATAAATTCTCTAGCAAAGTAAGAGTACTTTCAGTTTATATCTTGTGCAGATCTCTTTTTCATGTATTTGTTTTGCTACAAGCAAAGTATTTTTGTATAAGGACAGTGTCTAAGAGGGAGACAGGGCTTGTACGACGGGGAATTAAGTTAGCTATCTGTGCTGAGATCTGAGAATAGGTAAATTTTCAATAAATTTTGGCCCTGGAGAGGTAGTCCACTTGGGCTTCTTCTAACATCCACCTCTTCTTCTTTTGATGCTAGATCGAACGGTTGGAAGTAAGCAGCCTTGCCCAGACTTCCAGTGCAGTGGCCTCCAGCACAGATGGCAGCATCCACACAGACTCTGTGGATGGCACCCCAGACCCTCAGCGCACAAAGGCTGCTATTGCTCACCTGCAGCAGAAGATCCTGAAGCTTACAGAGCAGATCAAGATTGCACAAACAGCCCGGGACGACAATGTTGCCGAGTACTTGAAGCTTGCCAACAGTGCAGACAAGCAGCAGGCCGCCCGCATCAAGCAGGTCTTTGAGAAGAAGAACCAGAAATCTGCCCAAACCATCCTTCAGCTGCAGAAGAAGCTTGAGCACTACCACAGGAAACTCCGAGAGGTGGAGCAGAATGGGATTCCCCGACAGCCCAAGGATGTCTTCAGGGACATGCACCAGGGTCTGAAGGATGTGGGCGCCAAGGTAACTGGCTTCAGTGAAGGTGTGGTGGACAGTGTCAAAGGCGGACTTTCCAGCTTCTCCCAGGCGACCCATTCAGCAGCAGGGGCCGTGGTCTCCAAGCCCAGAGAGATTGCTTCACTAATTCGGAATAAATTTGGCAGTGCAGACAACATCCCCAACCTGAAGGACTCTTTAGAGGAAGGGCAAGTGGATGATGGGGGGAAGGCTTTGGGAGTGATTTCAAACTTTCAGTCCAGCCCAAAATATGGTAGTGAGGAAGATTGTTCTAGTGCCACTTCAGGCTCAGTGGGGGCCAACAGCACTACCGGAGGCATCGCTGTAGGAGCATCTAGCTCCAAAACAAACACCCTGGACATGCAGAGCTCAGGATTTGATGCACTATTCCACGAGATCCAGGAGATCCGGGAAACCCAGGCCAGACTAGAGGAATCCTTTGAAACTCTCAAGGAACATTATCAGAGGGACTATTCCTTAATAATACAGGCCTTACAGGAAGAGCGATACAGGTAAGTTATATGAAATTAAAATCCCTAATTATTTATGTTTGGCATTTCCCTCCCTTTGGATCTAGGGGAGGGGCTTTAAAAGCTCTTCATAGAGTATCTTCCTGAGTGTCCAGAGCACTTCGGTGATGTTATATGACATCTGCATGAGTTTCCTATTCTAAAGAGCAAAACAGAGGTACAGCAAAGTTAAATGACTCCCAAGATCACACACTGATGAAGCATTACAGAACTACCGGACTGTTCTCCAGTTCTCATTCCAGTTTAGGACTTTCAGATGAAGCCAAAGTGTTCTAAGGCCTTCCACCTATTTATTTACAACCCCAGAGCCACAAATCATTGCAGTCCATAGCTGTGCTGCATTGACTTCAGAAGATCTACAGATCTCAGATATAGCCCAACCAGAAAGTAACCAACACTAAATACTTGGCCCTTAAACACACTTATGTGGGCAGTTGGTGTAGGAAGATTAGATTGGAAATAAATCCAGATAAGCGTGTCTACTGGCTACTCAGCTACTGCCTGTATATAATTACCTTTATTAGGAATTGACAGATGTGTGAATGGGGATGGGCTTAAACATGAAATGGTTCTGCAGTAGTTAAAGAATTCTCAAAAGACTAAGTGCTTTGGCTTATAATTTGTGCTAAAGGTAGAAACTAGTCTCTCTTTTGGGTTTTGTATTTCACTCTGTGTTCATATTAGATCATTCTTAGCTGTTCTCCAAATATGTGCCCTTTCCCCTTCTTTTAGTCACATGTAGAGAGAAATAATATCCCTCATGAAGTACTTCCTCAGATCCACACTTTGCCAGCCATAAACAGGCCATCTTATTATACACATAAAGGGCCAGTCTTACAGAAGCTACAGGTCAGGTTAGGCCTTGAAAGACCGGGGTTCTGGTCCTGTCCCAATAACTAACCAGAGGGACTCCTCAGTACTTCTGTCATATCAGGGTTTGGAGAGATGATCTCTTAAGGTCCCTTTCACCTCTTTATTTAAAAACAATTTTTTTTCAAGTTTGCTTTTCTGAGATTATCTCAGGGCCTGAAATAAATTGCTCTTGCGTATAAATTAGCTCTGAGAGGATTTACAGCAGCAGACTACATTCAAAGGGTGAAAATGCTAGTCAGTGATTCAGTCCTGCCTCTTATCTTCACTATTCTGTTCTTCATCCTAACTTAAGGGATTTTAAGGGAGAAGAAAAGAGAGGTGAGTATGGGAGAGAGAAATGAAATTCTAAAAGCAAATATGTTACTATTCTTATTTCAGTGTTTTATATATTCTCTCATATGCTTAAAAGACAGTATCTAAAGCAGTGAACAGTCTAAAAAAATATTCAAATGACTCTAAAATACAATACCTGGTCCTTTATATCATGTTAAACATCAGTCCCAGGTTCAAATTCTAGTTCTGCCACTTACTAACCCTTGAAAATGGGGCAGGTTTCTTCACTTCTTTAAGTCTTGGTTTCCTCATCTTTAAATAGGAAAACTAAGTCCTTCATAAGGTGATTGTGTCATTTAAATGAATAGCTGATGTAGCACTTAGCCCAGTGCCTGGTCTCTTGAGTGCTGGGCTGATGTTAGGGAGTATCTGCTGCTGTTGGTGTTAAAGTACAGCCCTCTGAACATAGGGACCTGGGCGTCGTTCCATGGTCAGCTGCACACACACATAAAAAAAAACCCACTGCCTACTTTGACCCCTTTATTTTATGTGAACAGCAAAGCATTCCTGTTTTTAAATTCTTCAGAACTTAAAATTCATATACAACCTGTTGTGTCTTCAAGTCAGATACAGACCAGTGTGAGAAAATCAGAGAGGAAAACAGGTCTCAAGGCCTACCTTTATCCACTTAAGATAATTAGAGACAGGATAGAAGTTTAACTCATTAGAAGAATCAAGTCCAAGCCACTGAGGAGGAAATGGGAAGTACATTTCTTTCATTGCACCTTCAGGTTCTCTGTAGTAGGTACAGAGACTAGTAATGACTTGTTTTATGAGATGACGAGAAAATAAAGAAAACTTAGCACTTTTCAAAAACAGGAAAAATCTGGGGGAACCCAGGGGACACGTAATAAAATATATCACTTCAGCTTTAGAATGGTCTCTCCTTGAAACGGAAGCTTGAAGAAAGCAAGCCTTTTTTTTCTGTTTTGTTGAACCAGTATTTCCATGTATAGAGCAGTTAGAGATTTTTCCTCTGATACAAACGTCTTTACAGAGTAAATATTTCTAATTTTGTTGGTCTTTGAACCAGTTCTTGTAAGTGAAATTCTTTGCCACAGATTAAAGCTTTTTCTTTTAAGCACCAAAACTTTCCATTTTAAGCATTTTTGGAGAATTTCTCAACCTTCTTTTAACAGTCTAGTAGGCTGAACCTAACTTGATTGGAAATAGCTTAGCACAGTAGTGTTCTAGTCGAGTGATACTCTCAGGTCAGTGAGGGTGCACAGTTATGTGCCTCTACAGTAAGTCATCCTCAACAGCTTGCTTTTTAAAGTTCTTTTGTCTGTATTTATAGTTTGTTTTTTCTCCTTAAAATCTCCACATTGTCAGTGAGCTTCCTGCAGCAGCCCCTCTCTCAGCACCAATTTCTGTTTCAACTCTGTTGTAGCCTTGGCTTTTTGTCTAGGAAGAAAGTAGGCTAGGGAAGGACCTAAGGGACTCTCTGTGACCAAGAACTAGTTAATGCACACATGACTGCTCCAGATACATTTCCTGTTTTCTGTGTGTTAGCTTATTTTTCTAGTATCTGAGATTTGACAGGAGGGAGGCCTTGCCCAGGGCTGCTGCTTGCTATGTAAATGAGAAGGAGATGGCCACAGGCACTGACAGCATTTACTAAACTCCTGTGATGTGCACCATGCTAGATGCTTTACATATATTGGCTAATCCTCACAATAGCCCTGCACGTGGTTTGTATTACTCCCATTTTACAGATGAGGAAATTGAGGCCTGGTTGGTTTTTTTAATTTGCCAAAGGTCACTCAGTAAGCAGTAAAGCCAGAAATCAAACCCAATTTTATGTGACTCCCAAGCCGTGTTTTTTTTCATACCAGGACACATTTTCCCCAAGCTCTGCCCTGAAATCTGTATGATTAAAGGACCTGTCCGGAGTCTATCTCCAAGAATCACTGGCTCATTGGCAATGGGTATTGGGCCTTTTCCAGGTCAGAGTGTGTGTTTCACTAAAAGTTGACTCACTGTTTTTAACCTATTTTATAAAATTCTGTGAATGCTCCTGCTCTGGGAAGTTTCTTCACACTAGTACAACAGTGTAAGTAATAGGGGAAGCCTACTTAAGGAAACCGCCACCCCTTTTTCAGAGTCCCTTCTCAGTAATGTCACTTACTCAATGTGTTTCCCATGGCTCTCCACCCATTGAGTAGCAGCCAGGTCACTATTTTTGCCTGAGACCATCTACATGCTCTGGAATGATCCAGAGCATTTAGAAGCCTGGGGACTACAGGCTCTCTCTGCACCCACATAATTGTGCCGTGACTGAATGGCATTTTTTCTGCACCCACACGCACTTTGCCCAGGAAGCCATTGTAGCAGAACTTGGATCTGAACTCCTTTGACTGGTAACCAGGTGTTTAGTCTCTGAGCTTTACACTAGGCTCTCAGATACAAATGAAATCGTGTATTTTGGGTATGTAGGAGGCAACGTTTAGACTTTTCTTAGCGATGGGATCTGTGCTAGTTCACATCCTTCCAGTCCAGCTAACATCTTCCTTCCACTGAAGTCTCATCACAGATTTGTTAGTGGCAGATGGGTTCACTTTGTACCTCAGAGATGGAAGTATCTAGTTTAACCTCATTCTATAGGTGAGTACACTGAGACAGAAAGGAAAAGTGACTTTCTCCAGGTTACACAATAAAATAGTTTAACATATGCTTGCTTTGCTGCTGAAAACTGGAGGGTGAAGCCTGTTTCCCTCGTAGGTGTAACATATTAATGAGCTATCACAGGAAAAGTTCAGCTGTGACAAAATACATTGAAAAGAGGAAAGAACTAGGAAAGCATTCATCAACAATTTTACAGGTTTCTTTTGTAGTTTTTCCCTTAGGGGATCACCCCCAAATCCTACTCAGCTACTGCCTGTATATGGCAGTGTTGTGTGTGGCAGGCCAAAAACCCTCCAGTATGGAGGAGCATTAATGCCATTTTGAAAGCTTCTATTTTAAGGGAATTAGTGTCCTTTGGAAATCAGCTCCTGAGACTGTATTAAGCCCAGGGATATTTTAAATTGCACTGAGTCATAAGAGCAAAAATACAGGAGGAGGCAGTCCCCATGAGCAGTCCTCACATGCAGTAGGTCAGAGACTAGGCTGACCCAGTTAGCGCAGGCCATTGGGGTTCTAACTAACAAATGGGTGCTTAAATATAATTTTTCTATCATGAACATAAGACAGAGATGGGTCAGGTATACTTATCTTAGCCCCTTTATTCCAGGTATTAGACCTATTTGTCAACTGTAAATTGGTCTGAGCATCTCCAGAGTATATGTAGAGTAGGTTTGGACAGTAAATTTGAAATAGAAGCTAAGAATGTTGGATCAAATTACCTCTTCATTTGTAAAAGAAAGAAGCCCATTTAGAAGATGCTCTTGTGAAGGGTAAGGCCTTCTATAAAAGAAATTTACAGAGGAGCTCTTCCCAGTGTAGCCACTGAAGCAGTAATGGAGGAAGAATCAGAGGGAAAGAAGGAGGAAAGAAGGAGGTGGGGAGAAAAGAAATATCTTCATTAATTAATTGAAGTTGGACAAGCCTGAATTTGCTTGCCAGTTCTGACACTAATTAGCTGTGTAATAACTCATCAGAGCCTCAGTTTGCTCTATAAAAATAAGTAATGATACCTATTGTACAGGGTTATTGATATTATTAGAGGAGATAATGTGTGTGGAAGCACCCAGTATAGTCTGGGCTAGGCCAGGATGGTAGAAAGCTATCATTACCAAGTCTCCAAATTGCCCAGAAAGTTTCTCTAACTTTTATTT